GCTATAAAATCTTGCTTGACAAACAACGTCTACTATAAAGGCTATTTATAAACACGTGAAAGAGATGGATGAAGACCAGGAAAAGATCCTTTCCATGTTGAAAGCAATACATGTGATAAAATAAGACCCAACATAAAAGAACAAGATGCCAGCTTAGATAAACAAACCCAAACTTTGACTACAACCAAAGAACTAACAACGCAGAAGATAACAGAAGAAGTGGAACAATCAAATACTAAGACAGAGGACTCAATTGACCAACAAATACAGTTAATGGAAAATCCAGAAAAGGGAGTGACACACTGAAAATGGAAAAGACATTCTATATAAATCAGAAGAAATTTGAGAAAGAAGAAGAACAGATTGAATGGAAGATAAACATATCAGGGCAATCATGGGGAATTGGAATAATAGGGAGACAACTTAATGAATACAAATGGGCTAGTCCAGGGGTAGGCAACCTTGGCTCTTTTATGACTCATGGACTTCAACTCCCAGAATTCCTGAGGCAGCATGGCTGAACTTGGAAATCTCTCCCTTTCCCCTCAGCATGGCTGGCTCAGGAATTCTGGGAGTTGAAGTCCACGAGTCATAAAAGAGCCAAGGTTGCCTACCCCTGGGCTAGTCCTTCCCAAAAAATGGCAATTAAATGGTCTCCTTTATTTCAAATAACATATATAATAATAGAGGGAGATCTATTTGACAATCTAAAAGCACTGATATGGAAGCGTAGTTGGCAAAGGAAGAAAGCCAGAATAAGGCCACCAATTCCCTAAGGGAAATTTCACTTTTGACTATGCTGATATTATGTATCCAATAAACATATGCTTTGAGGAAACTTCAAGCCTCAGAGTTCTGATTTATTTGGTTTCATTAGTTGGAATCTTGACAGTTATCTAGACCATAACTTTGATTTTTAAAATCCCATGATAGATGGGTGCTGGATTTTTTTTTTCTTTAGCTCAGTTATTGAATGAAAATGATGTATTTTTACAAATTTCCTTTGTTAAAGATCATGTATTTATAAATCAATTCAATATAAAAAATCAAAAACAGAATGGAAAAGGGAACTGGAGAAGTCCATTTTGTCTAAACAATGGGGGGTTGTATTACCTTCTGTATGAAAAGGGTTTTTTAATACCCTAGATTGCAGCTTATTTCAAAATGTATTATTTTTGATTTACTGTACCACATTGTGTTTGAAAAAGATGGAATAAATCACTGTTTTGTAGAAAATGAAATAAATGCTTCATTCAGACACATATTTTTGTGATGTCCTTATATTATGGAAATATGCTCTTTCATATACTGACTTTGAAACAGGTTTCAATATTATATCCATATTCTCTTGAATCGCATATCTATACATAATAAATGACAACTGCACAATGGATTTTGTATGCTATTTTTATTGTCAAGAGTCATGTTCTTCAGCATTGGAAAGATAAATTTATGGTCTCAATTGCTCAGTGAACTTAACAGTTGGTATTACTTACAATTTATGAATAAGATTAGATAGGAACCATTATAATGAAATACAAGCAACCTGGAATTAAGGAGAAATTTCTTAACAGTGAGGACAATTAACCAGTGGAGCAGCTTGCCTTCAGAAGTTGTAGGTGCTTCATCACTGGAGGTTTTTAAGAAGAGACTAGACATCCACCTATGTGAGATGGTATAGAGTCTCCTGCTTGAGCAGGGGGTTGGACTAGAAGACCTCCAAAGTGCCTTCCAGCTCTATTCTGATTGATTGAACAATAATTCTTTAATCTAACCTTTGCGTAAATACACATACACAATATCAATATCAATATGCATGCTGTGTCTTTTTCTTTGGTTAAATCAAATAAAGGACATTTTTAAAACATGAAGAAAACTGCTTGAGATCTGAAGGATAATTTAGAACCTAAAGAAATAAAAATANCTATTTTGTTTTTTATGGCACTATTTTTGATAGGTTGGTCTGTTTTTTCCCTTTGTGTAAAGACAGATGCGAAAAACGAGTTAAATAGTTCTGCTTTCTCCCTGTTGCTTGTCACCTTCTTGCCACTTTCACCCACTAATGGACCAATCGTTTCCTTCACTTTTTTCTTGTTTTTTACATGTTGAAAGAAGCTTTTTTGGGTTATTTTTGACTTTGGTTGCAAGCCTTAATTCATTTTGAGCCTTAGCTTTCCTCACTTCATCTTTGCAGGCTCAGGCTATTTGCTGATATTCTAACTTAGTTATGTGTCCCTCTTTCCACTTTCTATACTTGTCCTTTTTATCTTTCAGTTGATCAGAGAGATAAACAGATAAAATCCTTATTTTCAACTAATTTCCAAATATTTTAAATCTAATGACCAGAATTTTCCTTATCTCAAGTTCTCCCTTTAACCCTCTAATTAATAATATGAAATCCCCTCTAATAAATCAAAGCCCCGGTTTGCCATCGCGGCTGCCACGGCCGCTGGAAGGCGAGCTCCGTCTTCCACATTCAGTTTTGCTCCGCTGGGGGACCCTGGAAAGGGTCGAAAGTCACCCTGTAGGGGTGACGAGCAAGGAGGGGGACCCCCGCTTGATCGCGGGAGGGCGGTAGCCCTTCTGCTCAATCTGGGGCAGCCCTCCAAACCAGCGGAGGAAAGACTGGCCACAGTAATATGGCCTATCAGTAAGCTGCAGACAGCCAAAGTCAAACTTACCACCAAGCACTTTGAAAGCAACGCAAATGAAACTGGGTGAAATCTGATCTTCTCTTTACCCTAAGTACTTTCTTTTCCTGTAAAAGCTGTCTGAAGTATCTTTCCCCCCTGTGAGGAGAGAGGGAAGCAAATTTCTATCCCACCCTCTAAGAATAGCGGCGACTGACTACTCAGGGGAATTAAAGCATTAAAAGAACAACTTTAATCTAATTGGATTTATATGTTCCTGAAACTTGGGGACCAAAAATTTTCCTATTTTTATTGGAGACTTTTGCTTTTATCTACAAAAAAGAAATAAAATTGGAAAAAGGATTATAAAAATTTTGGACTTAAAAACCCTTAAATGGCATCGGTAACATCTTGTGACGAAGTTTGGTATTACAAGTTGTTATTTCCTAAAAGAGACTTGGCTTGAAGCCCAGACCTTAGATAAGACTCTTTTGACCTTGGCTTGGCACCCCCTGTGAGAAACTCAGCTGTAACTATTGCAACGCCCTCTACATGGGGCTTCCCTTGGGGAGCATCCGGAGGCTCCAGTTGATCCAGAATGTGGCTGCACAGGGGATTTTTGGGGCTCCTAGGAGCACCCATGTGATACCTCTCCTGCGCGGGCTGCACTGGTTGCCTGTGGCCTTCCGGGTGCGCTTCAAGGTGTTGGTGACCATCTTTAGAGCGCTCCATGGCAGTGGACCAGGTTATCTGCAGGACCGCCTTCTGCCACATACCTCCCTTCGACCAGTCCGCTCCCACAGATTAGGCCTCCTCAGGGTGCCGTTGGCCGGACAATGCCGGCTGGTGACCCCCAGGGGGAGAGCCTTCTCTGTGGCAGCTCCTACCCTATGGAATGAGCTGC